ACCATAGTCACTAAATTTTTAATATATATTTATATATATATTTATATATATATTTGTCATAGGTCTATAAGATCCATCTGTTCCTCCTACCCTAAGGAATGGCTAATGTCATCACTTCGTTGTCATCAGGACGTTTGCTGGTTTTGTTACTAGGGCAGCCGAGCTTCCCTTATTCAATATCCAGTAACTAGAAACACTAGCTGACTTGAATACCAACAAAAACGTTCATGTAGTTTTCTTCAGAAGTACACTTTTTTCATTATTGCAAGTTTACAATTTTTTTAAATTAAATATTTTTTTTTCAGACTTACAAATTAATTATTATTATTTTTTTTTTCCAAAAGAAGTTTAGGCACAAATGCATTGTTCCACAGTGTGGAAAGATTGCCATTCAGTCTCCGGGCTGCGTCTCAGCCTGCACACACCGCTTTGCACATTCTGAATGATATGTTAAAGAGTCATCCCTCAAGTTGCACTTTTTTCTTTCTTTTTTTTTTTTGTTTGTTTTTCGGTTTTTTGATAATTGGGAATGCTGAAACCTCTTGCGTCTGCGATTCATAACTACTCAGACTTGTCTTATATTACAAAAAAAGGGGGTTAAGGAGAAGTGTTTATGTGGGTTTAAGATAATACAGCTGTTAAGGAAGTGGTCTCTTGTATTAATGAAGCAATGTGGCAACTTGGACCTGAGAAGAAAAAAAAGAGAGGAAAATTAGTTAATACATTCATCGCAGAAGTTTATGTCTTATTTTTAAACTTTTTTTTTTTTTTTGAGTGGAAAAAATCTGTTAATGTGGGTAAAACGCGACTGTTAGGCTGACGGCTTGCTGTGAGTACAGGGAGCGGAGTTCAGGCTGCAAACACACTCACCCCTTTACATCTGCCCCATGTGATTCGACGCGTCGCCCATCCCGGGGTGAGGGCCGGCCAAGGACAGCGGCGGAGGCTCCGAGGACACCTTCTCTTCCTCCCTTCTTTTCAGACACGCGGCTTTCGGATTCAGATTTCTTTCTGTGGAGGAGTGAAGCACAGAGCCTTTAGTTAATGCCAAGGCTTCGGTAGAGGGTAGTACGCATTCTTCTGTGTGTCTGGCGACCCCTTTCTCGGGTTTTACGTTACAGAACAAAGGGACAGTCAGGAAACGTGCACTACGGTGACCGATTTACTCAGTCACTAGGCGAGCTGAACTGCGCGGTGGATTTGCAGAGCCACTCTACAGTATGAGAAAGTTTGTGAAGCGCACATGCTAGGCTCTGATTACTGACAGTAACAACAAGGAAGTGTCACAACGTTGTCTTAGTTATAAGAGAATCCTGTGACTTAATTACAGGAAAAAGAAAGCTGCCTTATAGATTGAGACGTGGTCTCCAATTGATGCAATTATTCTCAACAATGCTTAATAGTCTACTATCTCCTCCTGCTCCAGGCAGGTGAGTCCATCACTCCTCCCTCCAGCTGCACGAGGCTGGGCTCTGCGAGGAGGCTGGCCGGCTTGCACTGACCTCGGACCTGCTGCTCCAGGCTGAGGATGACAGCCACGGCCTGATGGAGGATCAGGAGCTTGGTCTGGGGCTTGTCACTCTTAAGGTGGAGCTGCACCATGCGGCCGAGCTCCTTGAAAGCCTCGTTGATGTCGCGGACCCGCAGGCGTTCGCGAGCGTTGTTGGCCATCCTCCGCTCCTTCTCCCGCTCGGCCTTCTGCTCCGGTGTCAGGTCCTCGTCATCATTATTGCTGCGGGACAAAAGGGACGCGACATTTTCTAATGGTGTGGGGAAAAAGAAGGTATCTAAATTGCTTTTGTTTTCTTCCAGAGTTTTGGAAGAGCATGTTTTCATCTCAAGCTCTTGTCCTTGGCAGAATTTTACACCCACTTGAACTTGGCGCTGCTCTCGATGGCTGTGATGGTCCATATACAAGACCTTCAATTTCTCCTAGACATTCGACCCAAACCAAACAGGAGAGGTTAAATTAGGGCACAGAGTGCACCCATGCTAATACAGGGAGACAAAAACGGGAAGCAAAGCTTTTATCAGTATGACTACTCTCTGCAAATGAGGCCACAGTCAATTCAGGCTTAAGCTACACTGCATGACCATAATTCAGAGTTTTAGACTGAAGTTGCTTTTTATTCTTTTTTTTTTTTTTTAAATTTTCATACTGTGACATCTGAAACTTGAGAAAAATAAGTGAGTGGAAAAACATTTTGATAGGTCAAAATTAACATGATGCGGCTAAAGGGATTAACAAGAAGGTCCTACATTGAAGATGCCAGAGCAATGGGAGTGAAGACCGGGGGCTTTATCCAGGTTTCCTCATTAACTTGTTTTGAAGGCCCGGTCAATCCACTTAATATATCGGAGTCTCGTGTTCTCTAGGTATTAAATTAAAAGGATAGAAAACCATGATCTCCATGGCCTTTAACATTATATATGCTTATGATCCCAAAAAGGGATTGGGGAAACACGAGTTGACATGCGGTATGCAAAAGAAATAAAACAAAACAACAAACAAACATCTACTGGTTGGTTATGAATGACCACAACCTCCTTGTGAGTCAGAAATGAAGCCAAAATGCTAATCTCTAATTGTGAGAAGAGATATTGTATGATTCATATCAAAGGCGTTGTTGGACCCAGTAGAGTCTGGAAAGGCAAGATTACTTTTGTTTGTGGGTGTCACACTGAGAAATTAGAAACATTTGAATGAAGGGCAAATAGGATGATGAGCCATCTGGAAAGCATATCACACAAGGAAAGTTTCATGGCATCAGGGCTTCAAATTTTTCATGGGCGGTTATGCAAAAAAGAGAAGCGTGGGAGATGTCTTGTCTTAGGAAGGCGGAACAGAAAGAAGAACTCCGAGTGGAATAGTCGGAATTAACATGAGCAAGAAATTTTGGGGTATGAGAAATATCAAAAATAAACGTCACCAAAAGTAACAGGCTCTCCATTGTAAGGGACAATATGGAGACAATCATCTCTAAGGTTGTTAACCTAGAGATTCAAGCATTGATCTAAAGGACCATGAAGGTCGATCTCAACTTTAAAATCCCATGAATCTGAAGTGTTCACAGAATAAATATGGTAATCAAAATATTTCAGAGCCAGAAGACACATGGGAAGTTACCCAGTCAATGCAATATACACTTAATGAATGCGGGCTTAAAACATATGGCTCCAAATCTTCCACTTTGGAGAATCTCTGGGTAACTTCCAAATTGCGATAAGGATCAACTATGGTTGAGGGACCCCAATCAATCAAAGACGGAAGTGATATTCTCGGGTTGCAAGCACATGTTGCACATAAAGATGGCTTATGTAAGCCAAGAACCCTTGTGGGAGACACCAAAGAAAGATGCAGTAAGACTTTGCCCATCTCCACACAGGTTAAATTCCCTTCTAGATGAGTCTGTGTGCCATAGACGCGTGCTGGTGAACACACAACTGAACTGAAGCAATTGGAAAAGGCTCTCCTTTGCCATCCGATCTTCCTCACTTCCTTTCTGATCTTTCTCTCCCTCACCCATGACCTGTGCTGACAGCAGAAAAATCAAGGTAACTATTAATTCATGTCCACTGCACAAATAGGAAGTCATAAGTGAAAAGAGAACAGAGTTGAGTTTCCGCTGAGCCCCTCCTGAAGGTCAAAATTTGGGTAATGTTTTTACGCATCAAACATAGGCCATGCTTTTTACAAAGTGGGCCTGAAAATGGGAATTTGCTTTCCAAAGTTATCCAGGCTAATAACTAATTAGAATGGGTGATGCAAAGGAAACTGTCTAGTTTTCGAGACATAAATAAATGTCACGAGAGTGACTGTTTAAAATAAGAAGGTTCTTAACAGCAAGTTGAAATGTTGTACTGAAACTTCAAAGGATCCACTGATTTACATACGTTATGGCCACTACTTAAGTTACCAAGGACTGACTGACTAAGGAGAAGCCCTGGAAAGGAGCGAAAGCCCTGCCCCTCAGGGTTTCCCACCAACGTGGCCGAGAGGCAGGAAACTGCAGCGATGGGGGAAGGCACGAGCTAGAAGCTTTTAGCAGTTTTGGAACTTGTGGCAGGATGCAGAGTAAAATTTATCTTAATAATTACAAAGGCAATATGGAAAGGTGGCATGTTCTTAATTCCTAAAGGACACTATATATAACCTTGAGAATGACAGCCTTTAAAATTAAGGGAGGTGTAGTCTTAGTAAATTTTTTTTTTTTTAAATTTGCAAATCAAAACAATCCAGGGAAACCGATGCAAAGAACATGGGTGTCATGGTGTTCAAAAACCATCTGAATATCCAACTAGAGTTAAAGTTCAAGGAGACAGATTCTAATTTAAAGATATCAGATACTGTATTTAAGAAAACCAACCAGAAGCTATTTTCCTGAAGTTGCATTTCCTGTAGAAGGAAGTATCCGGGAGAAAAAAAATAATTAGCAATTTAGGTATTGCTGTCATATTTATCAACATGTTTAGGATAACGCTGGGAAATCAATATGTGCTCAGGTTCAAGGAAAGAAAAATGTTACAGTTGTATATACATCAATTGAGAGTTTTCAATATCACCAAGATCTCTTTTTAGAAATATTGAAGAAATAACATTGCCGACCAAATTTGTAGAATAAGAATAGTCTTAAAAATACAACCATTTGCATTTGAATCAGCTACAAATTGTTTTTACCCTGTGTAATTAGCACTGGGTCCAAATTCATAAATGCAAAGACATTTCAGGCTTCACTAGAGTACAGGTATCTTAAACGATACATTAGTACCTCTAGAGCAGGCCTTTAATTTTCTTTTCAGCTGTAGATTTACCTGCCAGGAAAAAACTGAGTAGTTTCTTCCTGCTCTGTTCACTTCATCAAAGTCCAATAAAGGAATTAAATGAAGCGACAGTATTATATACTGTTACCTAGATCTTGACCTAGTAATTGATTTGATATCCTTCTTGTCGTCATCTAATTTCTTGTCCTCGGAAGATTTCGTGTCCTGCAGGTTCTCATCGCCCTCGTCGTCGGATTTGATCTCGGAGCTGCCGGACGAGACACTCTGGCCCTGCAATCCTGGCGGCATGCCTGCAGAAAACGAGCGACCAGGTGAAAGGCTTCACCAAAGATCCGATGCACACACACGCACCCGCCAGACCGTGAAGCTGCCAGCTCTACAGTTCATACTGCTGAACTGTGATCCTTCTGCCACTTTTTTTTTTTTATGCTATATGGTGAAGTTTCAGAAATGCACCTGCAGAAACAAGTTTTCCCTGCATTGGCTCTGAGGTTAAATTCTATTTTGCAATCTTTTGGAGTAGATGGTAATTTCACTGTCTACAAAACATCAACTTAATTGCAATGAAAATCATAATCATGAAAATCACACACCTCAATGTTCTGATTAAGAACCCAAGTAAATATCAGCTATTATATCAAGTTTCTTCCATATGCAATGATTTAATAGAAAAATGTCCTTAAAATATAATTCCCAGGGAGTACGCTAAATATGTGCAGTCAAGTCTTCAATAGATGTCCTAATGATATTCTGAAATTACGCTTCTGTTATCCTCAAAGAGTAATCAGCATTTAAAAATGGTACATATGGAAAGCAGATCGCTGCTCACTGGAGAAATTCCTAGCTTTCTTATTGCTCAACTTTCAAGATCACAATACATTTTAAAACTAGACCCTCATGTAATAATTTATTTCTAAGGTAGAAACATGTCTACTGCCCTCTGTTTGTAATCTGTGTGGTCTAGAACCTTGTCACTTCACTGGTCCATGGGCCAGAAGCATCTTTATCACCTACGAGCCCATTAGAAACACAGAATCCCAGACCTACTGAATCGAAATCTTCATTTTAATAAGACCCTCAGGTCATGCTTATGCATATTAAAATTTAGGAAGTGTTTGTCTAGGACAGAGAAAGAAAACCCAAAAGCTCTTTAAAAGAAAGATCCATCGAATTATTACTATTTGGATAAAAACGGGGAGGCATACCCATATGCATATAATTAACACTCAGTACAATCTTTAACAGGTAAAAAATGCTAATACATATTCCTGTGGTAGTATTACCATTTTTATTCTAAACGTGAGGGGAATGAGAATGTTATTTAATAATGATCTCCTAGTCACCTGGTCAGTCAGTCACACAGAAAGCATGGGCCCAGCTCTCCTTCCTGTACGATGGCCTGGGGTCATGAAAACCCCTCGTAGTCAGCTGTGCAAGGCAATCATTAGGAGGCTGGATGACTCAATAGTGACTAAGTCACCCAATCAAGTTTCAGTTTTTTAAAATGTACCTACATTTCCTTCAATCTTAAACAACAAAAACAATTTCCTTCCTTCCTATTCATTTGGAAATATCATTTTCAGGCTACAACTAACCACATTAGAGGACCCGAATGAGTAAAATGTGGAAATAGCTAAAATAAAATTTCCTCTCATCAGTCTGTGGTCTCCTTCCCCACCGAAATTGTACCAGGATTTCAGAGGATGTTTGAGGAAAACAGTTACAGAAGAAACACAATTAGCTGGCTACGTTCTAAATACTATTCCATTTACTTACCATTTTTGTACCAAATTTGATTCTCGGTTTTCTGCCAGTGCTTGTTGAGGGATGAATGCCAAATAAGCTTGGGATCAGCACTAGATCTATTATTGTTTAAGTGAGGTCACAAATACCCTCGAGGAGGACCTACCTCTGTAAGGGTCCTGGGGTGGGTTCAAATCAGGGGAAGTTGCTGACTGGACAGGAAGCTGTGGGACCGGAACCTGGTTTGGCACAAGAGAATGGCTGCCTCGCAGGGCCACGCCATCTTCACGATGGGCCCCAACCTGAAAGGGTGAGAGGAACCGTAGAGTTTAGTGGGAACCGGAGGTGCCACAACTTTTTTCCAGGGATAGCAAGGACCCGAAGACTGGCCTTTGAAAAACAAAACTCCCAAATGCATTTCACTAGAGGGCGCTGAAGGACCACGTATACACCTATAGTCCCCTGCAAAAACACTCAACACTCCGTAAGATGCCGTGCTGTACGTTCAGTGACAAATATGGCAGAGTAGCTCAGGCAGGTAAAACGTCAAATTGTCTCCCAGGGTGCTGCAGTGGAGCGCACTGATTCGTACCCATCTGTCTTCTATCATGTCCGCCAACAGATCTGACAATTATCTTAATGCCCATATGCTTAATTGTGGGCTTCTCAATTCCCCCATTGCTATCGGAAATCCTACAGGAATTTCAATTTGGCATTCGACTTTCATTTCAGGGGATAAGATTCTCTGGCCTGCCATTTTTTTTTCCATAATGCCAGCTAAGCCTCTGACAGCGGAAGCTACAGCAGTATGGGACATAGTCCCTACTCGGTACAAATATAATAAAACGTCACCTGGCTTTCCAAAACTGGCAGCCCATTCCAAATTAATGTTTACTGTATTTCATCAGCTGCTGAGTTCCAAATCCAAAGGGGGACCGTTCCTGCCAATGCCACCACACCGGAAAATGTACCAATAAAGGTTTTATTAAACACACCAGTAATGCCATCATTGCCATGCAAAGATGTTTGGACATTTTTCCATTTTTTTTTTCACTATTCTGATCCTAGGAAGGCACCATATTGTAAACACTTTTTATGCTTCCAAGAATAAAATTATAGAGTACACTATGATGACTTGGTCTGAAAAAAAAAAAATGTTGCTGAGCTTTTTATTAACTACTACTACCTACTCTGAGTCCAGAGAGCTTGAACCCCTGGCATTAGACGGCAATTTCTGACTTTACAGCATGAGCCTTAAAGCAGAACCATTAAGCATTTGCAAATCAAGAGGAATATGAGTAGCTTAAATTTTCGTTTGCATTTTTAAGTAGTTATTTTCTTATCTATTGTTGAAAGAACAATAAGGTGAACATTTACACAGGACAATGGGATGGGTATAATACTGAAAATATTTATCCATGAATTTAGACTGCTATGAATCAAAAACTTTAATTTTTCCAGTCCAAAATATAAAGCCACAAAGGAGACTATTTACTCTTTTGCTAATGAATGTTTAAAAGGAGTATTTCCAAAGAATGCAACAACAATAAGAATCTGAACTTGACAACAGAACAAAGCACATGATATCTAAAGGTAGCCTAGTATAAAGTATCACCTTTATATGCTCTAGAATAATAGAGAAGAAAATAATTCAGGAGTGGGAGAAGGAACATTATAAATCATACTAATTGCTCAGATTCAAAATACAGCAAGAATAGTGAAGGATTTAAGACTCGTGAGCATTAGAAAAGTACACGCGAATGTTGAAGCTGAGGACTCTGAGGAGCCTAGTGCTGTATGCCACCTGTGCGCCAGTGCTGCTTTCCGGCAAGTTCTACATGGTGGTTAGTTAGCTTCTATGTGGATGCCGGCAATGTACAGATACCCAAAGCGGTCCATTCCATTTTTACCACAAGTCGGCCTCCTTGGACATTTCACGCACTGGTTCTAGTTAGAGTTCCTAGAGTTCCGGGGAGGAAGCGTGAGCCCGTTTCCCATATGTGACACGGCTGCCATGCCACTCCTGTCTTTCATTCGTAACTGAAGCCTGATCGCAGACCATGTCCACACAGTTCCTTCAACCATTTCTCACTCACTGTTGGTATATATTTTTGTTTTCCATCTAAACAAAGAGTGATAGCTACTTTCCATTCAGGTTTTGATTTGCCATTTTTATATTTGTGCATTTACAAGACTGATCCAATCAATGATTACCCTTTCCATCTAAGATGTCAACTTGTAAAGCATGAATTTCACAGGCCTTGATCAAATGGTAGCTCTTTAAGTCTGTTAATCAGGTTAACCTAAATAATTACCGTAGTGCTGATTCATATTTATTGGTATTGCCAGTGGATTTAATTTCTTGAATTTCCACAAAGGATGATTCTAAGATGAAATCACTGAAGGTAGCCACTGATTTGAGCATAACAGAGATGTATATACTTCTATTTTAGAATCACTCTATCAAAACTTTCAAGCCTCCTTTGTAGTCATCTATGACATAATTTAAGGTTAATATTTTGCTTTTCATTTGAAACATATTCAGACATTGATCCTGCAATTTCATTTTTTTTTTTTGCCCCCTCTGGATCACATTGGTATTAATGTTTATAAGAGGAAAAAATCCTCACAATTAATAACCTTTATATTTTCTTTGACTCGACTATTATGAAAGACAATGGAAAGAATACAATGATAAGAGTCAACAACATCTAGATTCTAACTATAACTGTGTAACTATGGATAAATTACTGAAATCCAAAATGGAGAAAATAATACTAGAATTTATAGAGAACAAGTCCCATGCTTATTGCAAGAAGCAGCAATATGAAAAACAAGTGGTGCATAATAATTATAGATAGTGTTATCTGTTCTAACTGAAAATACTTGCATACTGCATAACAATGAGGGTCTATGAGTTTCAGAACCCTCAGATCTCAAGCTACCTTCACTTATGATCATCTTTGCACTCTTTCACTCTACTTTGTTCACACCCATTTGATTTTAGATCTTTGTCCTGAACAACGATAGTAAAATCTTAAATGACATTATATATCTTTGAGAACATAGTGTCCCGGCTCTGTTTTTGTTTAGATTTTAGCCATACATGTTACCTAATTTTATACATTTTCTACGAATCACTTTAGATCATCTCAAATAATGTCGATCATTTTCCAAAAAGGAAGTTGGGGACGAAGATATCCTTAACGTTTTAAGGCCTCTCTTGTAAACTACGTCTATTATAGGTCAAACGAATGACTGATAATAGGTCCAGATCCATGTGATAATGAGCTCAATTCCATTGCCTGTGGCTGTGAAATAATATTCCAATCTGAAGAATCCGTTTTGCGTTGCATGTTTCCTTGGCCACAAACAGCATGTCCTATTTACTTCTCTTTCAGAAACATTATTTCTGGTCACATAAGAGACAAGGAAAGAAAGACAGTAGATGGCCAGTACAAATCCATCACTAGAATAACTCAGAAATAGACGGGAGAAACCAGTACTGCCATCTGTATATACACAAGGATCGAGATTTGCCCACTTCCCACACAATAAATACATAATAATGTAAGGAAAAAGCAGATTCCTTCAACCCACAGATAAATTCTAAGGATGGTGCCTTTTTAAAAAAAGAAAATCTGTACTTCATTAAAGCCCTATTTTGATCACCTTTTCATCTAGATAAGCAATAGTTTTTAATATTGATGACAACCAGCCTATAAAGACAGTTAATTTTATCAGTATCGATTATAAACTTTTTTTGCAGTCTTTAAGGAGATTCTTCTTATAGTTACGTACAATGTAGTTTTAGATATATTTACGCTAAAAGTAAAATCTAAAAATTATTCGATACTTGTTAATTGATCAAGGAGTACGTTTATTAATTAAAGAAATATTTACTAATTTAGTCCATGCTTGTCACTCAGTGAGGTGCTGGGATCACAGCAGTGAATAACTTGGATGTGGCCCTTGCCTCATGGGGCTTATAATGATCCTTTGTGAGATTTTTGTGCACTGATCAATTTAGTGTGGAGGTTTTAATAGTAAGAACCAGAGCCTCATTCAAGCTTGCTCAAGTAAAAGATTTATCATGAAGGGTTCTGTAATAAGGTTTTGGACCCAGAGAGCTCTCAGGACCTAGGGTTACACCTTGTCTCTCACGAGCCACCTCAGCCTACCTCATACCTCTGCTGGTCCCCTCTGTTTCTCTGGCTTCTTCCCCCTCATGACTCCAGCCAGGACTCTTCCTTTGTGGTATCTCGTGGTACATTCTTTCCAGTTCTAGACCTGCTGCTAATTCCCTCCTTGTCTTAGTACTCCTGAGTTCAGAATGCCCAGATCATCTGATAGTCTAGTTTATTATTTTGAAGCAGATATGGGCTATCCTATGAATGGGCCACCTTAAGATCAGGTGTCCCCATTCCTGGTCCAATGAGCTACGAAAGAGGAAGAAGAGGCCAGATCATGTGCTTGAAACATAACTGCCCGCTCCACAAGCCCCATCACCGATGGCTCTTATGTGCAAATATCTAAGTTACATTGCATCTTAAGTCAAGTTATATTCAAATTCTGACACAGCTATTGAAATTCTGTGTTAATTTATCATTGGGGATAATTAAATAACTTTAGAGGTACAGTACTTCTTGGAATCATGTAAGCATCACATCATTTTACATAACCTTGCTTTCTGAGGAAAGGATTGGTATGCTAGAAGGACATTTCAATCACAGTATACATAGTTTAAGGGCTTGGAGAGACTTGGAAACGTAGTAGGCGAAATTCCTCATGTTACAGAGAAGAAAGCTAAGGCTGGAAGGTTAAGTGACTTAGCGAACATTTAGTTAGAGGACTAAAACAGATTTTGAGCTCGGAAACTTTATAACAACACTGAATAATTTGACAGAATATATATCAAATTTAAAGGAAAAAAAAAGTTTACTTCCTGGAGCTTCTGTTTTAAAACTGTGTGTGTACACTTGTGTGTGTATGTGTATCTCTATATGTGTGTGTGTGCGCATATGTGTGTATATATATATAGACAGATAGATAGATAGATAGATAGATAGATACAGATATGGATATGAAAATCATTTTAGTTGTCTTTATCATAGAGGAAAAAACATCGCAGTTCACCAACTCAGGCCAAGGCCAAGATGTCTTAACTAAATTACAAAATTTAATATTTGCTACAACTCCTCCAACATAAACAGATTTAAAAGATATGCAGCTTCAAATTAGGTGGCTGTTGGCAAGGCCGTTTTTATATGGGGATGCGTACAGCATCCTGGTAAATATCCTT